GCTTTTAAACCTCTACAATAAGGAGAACGGATTAAATCGACTAAATCAACTCTCCATGTATAGCAAATACTGATTCATTCTTAGGTATTGCGCCTAAAGAGGTAGGTAATGAGAGGACCAGACTGCATGCCTAGTGGAATCTTTGATTTCATCTTATAACTTACCGCTCCACAAAATGCGGATGCTAAGCAGAACAAGTAAATGGTGAATTCAGACGAAGTGCTTATCTGATGCGAATAACAAGAGTGCCAATTGTTTCGTGGAATAAATTGCGGAAGCACTAAGAAGAAGTTAAAATGTTGCTTTAGTCATGCTGTATTCGTCTGTATTTTTATGCTTGAACGAACCATAACTGTAGCTGCGCCTTAACTGCCAGGTAGATAAGTAATTCACGAAGTCTTTTGATAAAGTCCTAACCAATAACTTGTTGGAACGTGGAGGAAGTGTAAGACGGTGTCAGTTCATCAAATGATATAGCCTTTGAGGTGGCAGTAGATTAGTTTACAATGACTTCTTGGTCAAGCCGGTGTCGCCATTTGCCAAGGTGGATGAGGAGAATGAGGAGGAGGAGACCTACAATAATCTTCAGTAAACGTATGTTTGCATGTAATGCGACCATGCTGCATCGTATAGAGTGCTTTCCTGCAGCCGATCTACTCGATTCGGCTGTTTGAAACTGGTGGTAGAAATTACGAGAAGGGAAAGAGCGTCGATACAGTTGCCTTACTTCACATTGGGTCTGAATTTCGACAAGTGCCCTGAACACACCAAATTAAAATTTTGGTTCTAGCTCCAACTACAAAAAATAATGTGGACCCTACGTTCCCCTCACAAAGCTTTCCTCTACCTGTGTGAGAGTTGGGATGACTCCAAACAGCGATATACTGCTCATTAGGAATTACATAGCAGAAGTGAGAGATGCTCAAAAATTTGCAGGAAAAGCCCAAGCTTGAAAGGTGTAGGTGATGACTGTGTGACTCCCCATTTTGGTTTCCGCTGACTATAGCACAGAAATGATTTCTAGGTGATTGGAGACACTGAAGAGCCACTTCCTCACCCTGCTGAGTCGGTTATTAACAAGTGGCAGCTTCTTACTTGGAGCAAATTTGTCCTTTTCTCCACCAGACACTGGTGCTATTGTTGCAAGGTGGACAGAAGCATTTCTGATCACTGCGTAGAATTCAAACAAAAGAGACTTGAAATTGTGCTATTTGAGGGTTGACCGAATGTTGAAAACAATTTTCGTTGAGCAGACAAAATAGGTAACAATCAGTTAATTTCCAGGAGATATGAATAGTGAGAGCCTACCGCACGCAGAAGCTTTTTTATTAAAAAGGTAGAGGAAGGAAATATTCCCCTCAGCTACTGCTACCACCTGTGTGCAGATTGGCCAAATTGTGACCTTCCTAAGTAAGCCCAAGAGACAGCCGATGGAATCAGTGCTCTAATACAAAGGCCAGGATACTCAGGACGCAAATGAGAGCTGCAAAGTGCTTCACTTCTTTTGTTCTTCCCCACACTTCTCTTCAGCCCGTTCGAGAGGGAGAGAAAGGGAAAACTGAGTACACACAGATCCTCTGTGTGTCTTTGCTTTCCGGAAATAACTATCTCAGTATGGAAGCCTTTGAGAGGATTGCAAAAATCACCATCTGTACGTCTTTACTCCTTCTTACCAACCATCTAATCAAGTTACCACTAGTCAAACCTTCTTATCAGCCAAACTACGGAATAGAGAGAAAGAAGGGGATAAGCAACAAGTGGGACAAAAATCGCATACCAAACGGAGTCGAATGAAAGTGGCAAGCTGTGAAGGTGATCATGTAGGTCGCAATTTTGCTAGTCAGATTATTTGTTCGAGCCCAAAAGGCTACTTTGACATTGGAGTTATTGGAGTACAAAATGAGCCCAAAATCAGGTAGAAAATGCCATCACAAAATTTACATCAGTTTTTAAAGTTCTATTGCAATGAAAGCTTTTTAAAACACAGAAAATGAGTGAAAAAAAGGAGAGAAAGAGAAAGAAAAGGTACTTCCATATTAAGGGAAGAAGTGCATTTATTTTGCATCTATGTCTCTACCTCATCCATCTCTTTCATCGCGGAGTTCAAAGCGCTGCAATCAAAGGTGTCAGCTAAACCCACGCAATTAGTGG